ACTTTGATTCAAAAATCATGGTCTTTGGAGGTTGTTCAAGAGGTATTGGAACACAATTACTGTCAATGAATGATGATAGTTTTACTGGTTGTGGTTCAGCTGCTAGGTTGATATTTAATGACAAGAGAAAAACAACTTTCTTTGTTTTTATTACTGGGTCTGATGTAAATGATGTTGGAATTTTTGGATTAAGAATCAATAAATTACCAGCAACAAGTAATAAAGAATGTAAATACGCTCAAGAGATTAATCAATACCCAACATATAGAGAGGCTACAACAACGGGTATTCCCCCTAATTATAAAGGGTTATCAGGACTGTTTTATACTATCAAAGGCAATGGAGATAGGATTCATATTTCTACATGTCATAGAGCGACTAATGTAGATACAGTAATTAATGTATTTGATAGTTGTGAATTAATGAATCCAATTTCAGTTCAAACAAGAGTTTGTGATAATAAAAATATGGGATCAAAAATATTCATTGATACACAACCAGGTAAAGTTTATAATGTTCATATATCTTCTACCCCAAAGAAAAGAGGAATGTTTATTGTTGCATTTGAAACAGAAAATACAATTGTACCTCAAACATGTGAAAAATCTACTGCAATTACTTCATTACCATTTGCAAGTACAACTAAATTAGATGGGAATACATTGAGTATGTCATGTGGTAATACTCAACAAAAAGTCGGAGCATGGTATTCAATTGTAGGAGATGGATATGATTATATTTTATATACTTGTAATAGTATGAATGGACCTCAAGATGGAACAATGATAGAAATATTTGAAAGTTGTAATTCAAATAGTCAATGTATGATGAATGATAACGGATGTGGGTTACATGGTAAGATTAGTAAAAAACTAGAAATGAATAAAAATTATTTCATTAAAGTTAGTTGTACAAATCCTCACACACAGTGTAGAGTTACTTTGAATGTAGAAAAATTAAATACCCAAGGAGATATTAATAGTTGTATCATTGCTAAAACTGTAGAAATTACAAGTAGAACAGATTCTTTTACAGATTCTTTTGATATCACTACTGCAAGAACATCTGAAACAAAATGTGGTGGAGTTAAGCCAAGAAAAGGGTTGTGGTATAAAGTTGTAAATAATTATAAATATGCTTTTCCTTTATTTATTCAAACAAATGTACTTTTGGCCTCTTCTACTAAACACACTGCAGAAATTCAAATGTACCGAAGTTGTACATTGGAGTGTGAAGAAAGACAATTATCTGTTCAACATTTAACACTAAAACCAAAAGAAACAGTTATGTTCTTTATCACTACAGATGAGACTGAAGGGCAACTTGGTATTTTCATTAGAGAAGATCACAGAATACAACACGACACTTGCAAAACAGCATTAGAGTTTAATGCTCCATTTACTGTGGTTGAATATAAACCAAATACTGGAAGAACAACTAACCCTGTATGTGCAGCTAATCTTGTTGGAAGACATACAGGTATTTATTATTATTTCCAAAGTCCTGTAACAGATACAATGATTGTAGAAACTTGTGGTCTTGAAACACAATTTGATACTTATGTTGAAGTATTCCAAGGATGTGGTAGCGACGCTAGCTGTGTTTTATCTAATGACGATTCTCCAGAATGTGGTAGTTCTGCTTCATATGTAAAATTTGAAGCACAACAAGGAGCAGAATACTATATTTATGTTTCTGAAGCTAGTAAAGCAATAGACACTGAAGGTACATTTAGACTTAATGTTTATACACTCAATCCACCATCTCATTCTACTTGTCAACGAGCAGAATTATTAACTCCTGGACTAACACAATACGCACTTACTAAATATGCAGTTGAATCCGTAAGTACTTGTTCTAAAGATGTAAGTCATAACATCGATTCATTAACATTTGGAAGATTTGGAAGAAAGAAAGGAACACAAAATCACTTAAAAGGAGTATGGTATAAATATTCTTCTACAGTTAAAGGAAAGTTACACATTAACACATGTAATGCTGCAACTTCAGTAAGAACAAGAATGGGTGTTTACAAAAGTTGTGGTGTTGTTAGCGATGTTAGTGTTCCAGATCAATGTATAATAGAACACACAGTTTCTTATCAGTCTTGTTCAACAAGAGGGACTTATGTGAGCGTTGACCTGAATCCTGGAGAAACTGTGTTTATTTTTGTTGGTGGAGAAACAGCAAAAGATGTTGGTTTTGTTGCTGTTGATTCAGAATTCCAAACAGAAGCTCCAGAATATGTTCCAATTGTTTATACTCCAAGAATTGGTCCAAAAAGAATTAAAGAACGAAGAACATTGTGGATGTTATGGGCGTTCTGGTGGTTTGTTTATGCATTAGTTTGTGTTATGACATTTGGTGCATTAAAATATTTTGGAGCTAACGATGACTTCTTGGGATATCATGAACTTTAAATTTTACTTTTTTTTAATTTCAATTTTTCAGTTATAAAAGAAAATCTTTCATTTAAAAAAGAAAAAAAGATCAATTAATTTTTGAACCAGTTACTAAGAAGATAGTTGCAAGTAAATAACCACTTCTTAATGGCAGTAATTGGTTTATTCCAATGAAGATTAATGTTGATGCAAATACAGCATATCCACTTGACCAGAAATAAATGTAAAGTAATGAGAAGATGTAAACAATCATAAATAAAATGAACACTTCTATTACAAAGACTCGATATAATCCAATTACAACTGAGCAACAGTTAATTAGAATAATTGGGAATAAGAATAAATGTCCATATGAGATCATAAAATTAACAATAATTAAAATCAAAATTATTATTATTAATGAACAAATAATGCATGAAAGAATGTCATGTGTTTTTGTAATAAATTCAATTGACGTCAACATAATTATTATTGTTGTGATTAATGAAACAACAGTGATTCTTGTAGTTTGAATACTTTTCTTTGATAGAAGGAAAATTCCTATAACTATTAACAAAATTGGTGAATTTAATCCAATAACAGATGCTTTCTTAATAAAAAGACTAAGATAAATTTGTGCTTGTGGATAATAACTAATTATTTCTTGATAAATTGGTATTTCTTGAAGTGTTAATCTTTGAAGAATAGAAGTATCTCCAAGTACTTGAATAGTTGGAAGAATGATTTCTTTAATTGGTCCACAAACAATTGGATTACTTGTCATATTTAAATAGAAAATAAATCCAAACATTGAAATAAAGAATAAAATACCTGTTATTAAAAAGATCATCATTGTTTTAATAATTCCTGTTCTTTTTATTCTTGAAAAGATAATTAATAAAATCATTGAAAAAATTCCAATACATAA